TTTCCCTACCATCTCAGCCCAGCTTCTGTCTGCTTTCATGTACAGTTTGGGAATATTTCCGGCTCAGCTAAAAGAAATGAAAAGCAGAGATAGTTCTTGCTCTTGTTAGCAGCTAATTTTACAATTTTTAATGTGTGAACCAGTCAGAAGAGAAACATTACAGAGAAAAGGGGAAATAACTGTACTGTAATTATATATACCTTGGCATTCTGGTTCATACTGGCTGCCAGCCAACCAAGTATATGAATTCAAATACCCATGATCAAAATGCAGGGAGTTTCAGAAAGCAGAGGAAAAAATCTGTCTTGTTATGGACCAGTATTCCTTTGCTCTGATTATCTGATATAATTAGGTTTCAGTATAAAAATATAAAGAGTAATCCATTTCTAACATATAATGCGATCATGAAAAGACTTTCATTTATTTAGCATAAAAATAAAGGATATGATATCTTCTTGAGTGCCCTCTTTCAAGAATAAAATTGCTCATTAGTTACAGTGAGTTTCCCCATAGTATATGCAGTTTATGCCATTTATGGAGATTCAGTTTCCTGCTCGAGAAGGATTAGCCACTGTGCATTAGAGGATATTATACTTAAGGAATAGTTTTTATATTTTGCAACAATGTTTGTGCTCGTTACAACCTTGATAACTCCCAATTTTCTCTGGGTTTACACTGGTAAGAAACAAACTGCATTCATACTTACAAATCCCCCAAATGGATTTTCACAAGTGGATTTTAAAAAACTGTTAATTATAGAAGTTGTTATTCAGATGCTAATTCCACAACCCCTGTATTACATGGCCTCTTTTGACTGAGGAATAGCCTACCAAGATAACCGGTACGGGCAAAGACTGCTCATGTAAGTAAAGGTTTGACAGTTCAGGCCCTTGGCTATATAATGACTCTTGAAAAAATTTATTGTGCCATCACTATTTAAATTTAGTAGTTGATTACTTATAGAATAATGCATGATCCCTCTTGCACCAAGATTGATGTCATCATTTGCCAGACAGACCAAGTACCTGATGAATGCCAATGACCCTCATCTTAATTTGCTGTCTCCCCATGGGATTAAGGCCATCTGTACAAAAGCCTTTTAGGTCCCAACAGACTCACTCCCTACTATAGGTGAAGCCCAGTGATTTAAGCATGATCGGAAAGCCTAGTACAATAAATAGAATGAAATTTAAAAGCAAAACGTAATAGATTTGTATTTCAGATGCACTGGTAGGTCAACTAATATCCTGCACATT